TACACAGTAGTCAGTAATCAGTAAACAGTGAACAACAAGTTGCACCCAGTACACGGTACACAGTAAGCAAAAAACAAACAGTAAACAGCAAACAGCAACATCAACAGCAACCGCAATCATATCTGTAACAGCAAGAAGAACAGCCATCATGACAGTGATCGTAATAGCACAAGTGGTCAGAAGTAGTTTCCGTAGTAATAGCCTATACATAGCCCACCGAAGCAAAATTCGCAAAGACCTAGTTACCTGCAGGGGGGGGGGGGGGGGTGTGGGCAGTGGGGGGGGTTTAAGGACTCGTTACGTTACGGGTGAACGCTACACCTAGGACCTAGGACCCAGAGTAGGCCCTTGCTCCCTGCTTTTAGTTCCCTTGTGAGCCCCTTTAAACCAAAAAGGGTACCCTCTTTTTCCTAGGTTACTCTTGGGTCTAGACACCCGTACATTCTTAGGGTATGCCCTTATATAGAAGGGGACCCTTACATACCCCTGAGATACCCTCCTCAAATTAAGGGCCCTGACAGGCCCTGACAGTAGAACCCTTTGAAGGGAGGTAAGGGGCCACATTACAGGCCCATGAAACTACCCTGAGATGCATCTGGTGAGGCTACAGCTCCTCCGGCTGCTTTGCCAAGTTCTCGAGACGCGGAGAAGCGATGAAGCCGGAAAACTCTGCGAGGCGTTCCCGTAATGCAGGAGCCCAGGGGGCACAAATAGATACCAACATGGTCCCTTAGAATCTATACCCCCTAACCATAACCCTAAACCCTCAACCCTCAACCCTAAACCCTAGTTTTCACATAGCTACCGGGCATCCACCGATAGTAGGGTGTTAGAGAGTTTGGGAAGTTTGCGGTGTGGAAGTTGGGCGGCAGTGGGAGGGAAGGGCAGGAGAACCCTCATGCCAAATCCTTAGATACCAACCAACAAGCTTCAGTATGGTTGGGTGTCTAAGCGATGATTCCAATGTGGAATTCAACATGGTGAGCTGAGAGTGATGCTGGCAACTGACTGAAGTCTTGTGCACTTGAACCAGCTTTCCTGTCGTCTTCACATTTCGAAGGCAATCCCCTTAGTATAGGTAGGATGCCCCAACCATGAATCCTAAACCCTAAACCCTAAACCCTAAACCCTCAACTTAGGTTTAGTTACTACCAAAACCCTAAGCCCTCAACCCTAAACTTATAGGATTGAGGACGCCTAAAGGACTAGGACCAGTGCACGGCCTCCCATCATCTTACGCCCTAAACCCTAGGATTTAGGGTTCAGGGTTTAGGGTTTAGGGTTTAGGGCAGACCCTGTGCAGGTGGACCGCACCTTGTGCAAGAACCTGACCAGGCGCTTCAAGAGATCAGGGCTTGTGGCTAGATGGTTTACAAGGCTTAGGAGGTTCATAGGGCTTGTATTATATGATTTACCAGCTTCAAACACTCAACACCTAACTCTAAACCGCGCTCACTCCCAAACCCTACGCCCCTATAAAACCTAATCCCCAAGCCCTCTTAACAGCATTTTTAAGAGATCTACCCTAAACCCCCAAACCCAAAACCCTAAACCCCAAACCCTGCGCAGGCACCTCATCTCCGAGGTCTTAGTCGGAGATTCTCGCCAGCGCGCTGTGGCAGATGTGCTTTAGTAGCTGAACGAGTACACTTTACGCTTTTAGGGTTTAGGGTTTAGGGTTTAGAGTTAGGTGTACACTTTTTGGTGGGCTTATGAGAACTCAGCAACTAAGGTGCTCGTGGAGCTCGCGCCCACACACCCTGACTTGGCCAGAAGCCTACCTTAGGGGTTCAGGGTTTAGAGTTTTAGGGTTTAGGGGTTTCACACACCCTGACTTGGCCAGAAGCCTACCTTAGGGGTTCAGGGTTTAGAGTTTTAGGGTTTAGGGGTTTCACACATCCTGACTTGGCCAGAAGCCTACTTTAGGGAACTATATGGTTCTAGATTTAGGGTTTTAGGGTTTAGGGGTTTTACACACCCTGACTTGGCCAGAAGCCTACTTCAGGGAACTCTATGGTTCTTAGGGTTTTTGTGTTTAGGGTTTTGGGGTGTTTGGGTTTAGGGTTTAAGGATGTTTGTTAGAGTTTTAGGGTTTAGGGGCTAGGGCCATTAGGATTTAGGGTTTTAGGGTTTAGGGTTGCGGGGTCAGGCTGCTTTAGAGATCAGGGTTAAATTTAGTCTTTAAGGTTTGAGGTTTCAGGGTATTGAGGAGGTGTGTGTGTGTGTGTCGGTGGGGATTGGATGTCCGGGGTCAGTTAAATATTAATAGCAATCCCGTTCAGGGAGCCTAAACCCCAAACCCCAAATCCCAGACCCTAGACCCCGGACCCTAGACCCTAAACTCTAACCTAAACCCTAAACCCTAATCCCTAGACCTTAATCCCTAGACCCTAAACCCTAAACCCAGAATTGAAATCATCCCCCACAATGCGTCCAGAGGGCGATTGAGATAGAATTAGTGCCTGTGGGGCTTCATGGGTTCAGGGCTGAGGGTTTAGGGTCTGCATGTCGGACAAATAGAAAGTATTTGCGCTGTTCTTCGCACTGACCTTCCACGTTCGCGATTTGCAGCGCTCGCCTGTGCAGCATACAAAAGCCTGGTGCTTCTCTGCAGTTTTTAGGTTGTTAATCTTCAGCGCGTTTCATGTATGGAGTGGCGCCCACCTTCTTTATCATACCCCCCCCCCCCCGGCCTGTGTAAGATGCTGAGGTCATCGGTGACCTCTTGGCGGGCATAGGCACTACACCTTCCGAGAAATCCGAGAAGGAGCGGAGAACGATATAGCTCAGAACACGAACGGTGATACTTGTAATGCTTTAGGGAGACAGACTCTTCTCCTGAGCAGCAGTTGAGCTCATCCCATCCCCGCAACCAGTAACCAGGAGAAGCTTCCGGTGCAGCTGGTGCAGATACTGTCCGAGGTGCCGTCTTGGAGGGCCAAAAAATCCTGGGAGATTCGAGGAAGTCGGTTTGCTTAGGGTTCAAGCTGGTTTTCCAATGACTCTCCAAGTAGCCGGCAAAGCTCGGCAGGTGATATAACTCTAAGCGTTCTCCCCCAAAACCCTGAACCCTAAACCCTTAACATGAGAACCTCTGCTCTGCAGCCGGAATATTTGAGAGGCCCTTGCAAAATGCTAGAAACTTCTTATGTCCAGGTTGGGTTTGTGCAGACTCTGGCTGAGGAGTTTCTGGATTTAGGGCGTAGGGCTTAGGGCTTCGGGCTTCGGGTTTAGGGTTTATGGCTTAGGGAGCTTTGGTGGCCTATAGAGCGAGCAAGGCCTTTGACCCTGCAAAAGCCCAGTTCTCTTGGACCGAAGACCATACCCCCAGAACACCGACCGGAAGACCTTCAAACGATCACTCGCCAAAGCCGTAACCCTCAACCCTCAACCCTCAACCCTCAACCCTCAACCCTCAACCCTCAACCCCAAAGGCCCCAAAAGCTCTGAAGAGGTTGCTAGCACCTTCCCTCAAAGCCTGCGGTGCCGCCTCGACGAGGCGTGTTTTTTTCTCTGAGGGTTAAGGGTTTAGGGTTTACGGTTTTGGGTTAAGGGTTCACAATTGAGGGTTCAGGGTTTAGGGTTTAGGGTCTTGGGTTAAGGGTTTAGTGCTTAGGGCATAGTGTTTGGGACGTCAAAACTCGTGGCCCTGGTTGTGGAGGAATGTAAGTTGAGAAGGCTGGCAAGTTGCTTTGTTTGCTTAAGACACTTACTGTTGGTTAGCAGGGAATGAGGGAATGAGGGCCCTACATGTACCCTTTCAGGTATTATATAAGGTACCTCATTCCCCCGTTCCCTGCTAACCAACAGAAAGGACAAACTAGGAGTAGGCCCTGATTTCCTTTTTTGGGGTCTTGGGGTTCCCTGACCAGCGCCTTTAGACCAAAAAAGGGTACCCTTTTTATTCATAGGTAACTCCTGGGTCTAGCACACTGCACATGCTTGGATCTCGTGCGTAACCCTAAACCCGAAACCCTTAACCCTTAACCCTTAACCCCAAAGCTCTAGATGTTGATGCAGTGTGTGAGATGTGCAGACCATCGGTGCATGGTCGACTTAGGGTTTTGGTTTTAGGGTTTAGGGTTTAGGGGATATTCATGTTTTCCCTCATTGGGTTTCAGAGGATCATGTTTAGTTTAGGAATATTACTCAGTGGGTTTAAGGGGCCATCCTATTCATGCAGCTGCCTTCATCAGTGCCACGCAGGTTCTGACAAAATACTTCGCCCTGCTACAAAACTGTCGCGGCGTGGAACTCCGTGTGCTGCTGCTGCGCGCCTCGTCTGGACATGTACAGGTCTACGCGCAATGTGTGTGTGTGTGCGCGAGAGAGAGAGAGAGAGAGCGAGAGAGAGAGAGAGAGTGTGTTGCATGTTTCCATAAATTGCACTCGTTCAGTCACTTGATGCTGCACCGTCTTGGCAAAGGTGCTTGGTGTTCACTCAGTGACCAGGCCCGCACTAGCTTACTGGGAAAGTGAAGCTCGTGCCAGCCACAGCAGCGAGTCTTTGTCGTATCGGATTTGGGAGCGTCTTTTCCGTTTGACGTCATGTGCCAGGCGACATGTGCGAAACCCTCGACACTCCATCCAAAAAGCGAGCACCAAAGGGGCCGTCAAACATTCATGACCTCACCGTTTGAGTAGCCCCTGAGAGCCTCTGTGCGTCTTCATAAGGTACCTTAAGGACGACATCAGCCCTAAAAGGGTTGTAGGGTTCATAGACCTTAACAGGAACTATAGCAGCACAGGGTCTATGACCCCAATCTTAGGGTTCATGTGGTCTCCAAGGTATAACCATGGTCAGTTGCACCTTCATAGGGATTCTAGTACCCCTTACTATCATTCCTACTAAGGACTGTAAGTATAAGGGGGGGAACATCCCAAGTTCAGGGCTTATAGGCAGGGTAAACCCTAAACCCCAAAAAGGGGGCCGAACCCTAAACCCTAAACCTTAAACCCTAATGTAAGCTGTATAAGGGGGAACATCCCAAGGTATAGCGATGGTCAGCTGCGCCACAGACCACGGCGACCCCTTGGACACCCACGACCTGACCTTCGCGCGGGACTTCGCCAAGGCCTCGAAGGCCATCAGAAGTGCGGGCAAGAGTGCTCCTCGCCGGCTTAGGGTTTAGGGTTTAGGGTTTGGGGTTCAGGGTTTAGGGTTCAGGGTTTAGGGTTTAGGGTTTTGGGTTTGATGGTCTGTTCAGGGTTTAGGGGTGTAGCAGTTCAAGGTTTGTAGGGAGTTGGGGATGGTCTGTTGAGGGGTTTAGGGGGTGTAGCAGTTCAGGGTTTAGGCAGTTTAAGGATATGGGTTTGAGGCTTCAGGGTCTGCGGGGCATTGGGGATGATAAGGGCTTCTGTGCACTAGGGTTGTTGATAGGGTCTGGAGATAAGGGTTTCGGGGTGTCTTCTCTGGACATTGGGGATTAGGGTTTACGATGTTAGGGTCTGAGGGTCTTTGGACTGTACGGGGTGTGGGAATCAGGGTTTAGTGTTTGAGCCCTCGGGTACGCAGTTTCCTTGGTTGTTTCTGTGTTCTATTGATACTTATAGTATGTGATCGTTGTAGCTTGGTTTTGACACCGATCAATGGAAGTACCCTAGGCCTTTGAGTAGGATTCAGCAAGTGTAGCTGGAGCCAAGTTGGTACGCACTTTCTTGCATGCTGGAACTTAAACCCTAAACCCTAAACCCTGAACCCTGAACCCTGGGCCCTAAATGCAATGACTTGCTGTCCTTCGACCGAGGCCTCTCAGGCCCTGCCCGATGACTTCAAGAAGGTATTCGGGAGGGGGGCTTCCATCTGGCAACGCCAGAACACCCTGAACCCTAAACCCTAAACCCTAAACCCTATAAACCCTAAACCCTAAACCCTAAACCCTAAACCCTAAACCCTAAACCCTAAACCCTAAACCCTAAACCCTAAACCTAACCCTAAACCCTAAACCCTAAACCCTAAACCCTAAACCCTAAACCCTAAACCCTAAACCCTAAACCCTAAACCCTAAACCCTAAACCCTAAACCCTAAACCCCAACCCCTAAACCCTAAACCCTAAACCCTAAACTCAAAACCCCTCAACCCGAAACCCTCGGACCGCATCGGGAGTTGCAAGTATAGAGCCGCATAACCGACCTATATCCCCCTTGGGAATTTGTTTTTGTTTATGTTTATATCAAAACCCTAAACCCTAAACCCTAAACCCTAAACCCTAAACCCTAAACCCATGAGGATATTAGACATATTATGGTTGTTAAGGTTCTAAGGGGAGTATAGCAACACGCAGTACAAACCCAATCTAACCGTGACACTGTGTCGTTTCAATCTACTAGTCTACTATTTGCTTAAGAACCCAAAACATTCTTCCTTATAAGGGTCGCATAGGGCTTGTTATTTTCTTTAAAAAATCTTTTGGGGTTCTTAAGCAAATAGTAGTAGTACCTCAAGAACCCAAAAACCTACCTTCTTTTGGTAGGCTACCTAAAAACCCTATAAGGATCTTTGTCGTGATAACATGTCATGTTATCCCCTATGCTAACAGTCCTAAATATGATCCCTATGATGGACTGTTCGTATGAGGGGGAACATCCCAAGTTCATAACCTGCAAGCAAGTAGGTTTTGGGTTCTCCAGGTAGACCCTGAGCCCCAATTCCTCCACCACCCAAAGCCCAAACCTCAAAGCCTTTAAGCCTGCCCCCACAACCCCCCCCCCCCCCCCTTATACCTTGAACCTTAAATAAATCTTAAACCCTAAACAAAACCCTAAACCCTCTTGACCCTAAACCCTAAATCCTAAACCCTCAACAACACCCTAAACCCTAAATCCTAAACCCTCAACAAAACCCTAAACCCTCTTGACCCTAAACCCTCTTGACCCTAAACCCTCAACAACCCCCAAAACCCGTGAGGCGGCCCAGATCCTGGGTGCTGTCTTCGCCTTGGTCATGAGCGCCTGGACATCTTGGAAGGAGGGGGGGGGTTTAGGGTTTAGGCTTTAGGGTTTAGGGTTTAAGGTTTAGGGCTAGGGCTTTGGGTTTTTTTAGTCTTGTTGTTGGTGCTTTCGGGGCGTACCCCTGCAGATCTTCTGCATCCAAGAGCCTCACTCATGCCTGAGACTGCGCAAATAAAGCCCGCCGCGGGTTAGGGTTTAGGGTTTAAGGTTTAGGGTTTAGGGTTTAGGGTTTAGGGTTTAGGGCATTCCCAAGGGACCATGTCACCAGAATCCAGCCTTTCAAGCGGCTGTGCAGCTTAAAGCCCCGCTCTCGACTCGGCTTCGAAGCCCTAAACCCTAAACCCTAAACCCTAAACCCTAAACCCTAAACCCTAAACCCGAAACCCGAAACCCTAAACCCTAAACCCTAAACTCTAAACCGTAAACCGTAAACCCTAAACCCTAAACCCTAAACCCTAAACCCTAAACCCTAAACCCTAAACCCTACACCCTACACCCTAAACCCTAAACCCTAAACCTAAACTTTCAGCAGGACCCCAACCTCCGGGTGGCGGCGCTTGAAGCCCTGGGGCACATCAGCCTTGTGATCCCAAAGGATCAGTTTCTGACAAACGCAGATGCGTTGCCACCTGACTGGATTCTTGTTGTTGCGGTTTGGTTTTTAGGGTTTAGGGTTTCGGGTTTAGGGTTCAGGGTTTCGGGTATGGGATTCTGAGTTTTAACGCTGGACCATGGACCTTCAATATAATCCCTTACCCTTGTTAGTATGGAGCCGAAGTATGGACCCTTATTATGTACAGTGTTTATATAAGGGGTTTTTTATATCAAGGGACCCAAATTAAGGGCCCAGGCTTCGGATCTCCTATTGTTGTTGCCAACTTTTGTACCAATGCTATGATGAGTAGTACATGGCTCTTCTTAGACAACCTTAAACCCCAAGCCCTAAAGCCCTAAACCCTGAACCCTAAACTTTCATTTGCGTGTAGAAGGGGCTGCGGCAGGGTTGTTTCTGGGGCCACCGTCCGGAACACCCGGCCTATCCTAAGCCCTAAACCCTTTACCCTAAACTCTAAACTCTAAACCCTAAACCCCAAACCCTAAACCTTAAACCCTAAACCCCAAACCCTAAACCCTAAACCCTAAACCTTCAGACCAGCTCCTCAAGCCATCATCAGCCCTCGGTGCTTGAAGGCCTAATGAAGGGGTTTAGGGTTTAGGGTTTAGGGTTTAGGGTTTAGGGTTTAGGGATATTATTCCCTATAGGGTCCCTGTATGAATATATCACAACAACCCGCAAATACCCTGTTCTAATTATTCCGGCCCCTATATCTGGGCATAAGGGTCTGGGTTTAGTGTTTAGGGCTTGTGCCTTGGGTCATGAAGTTAGGATTGCGGGTGGAAGTTTAAGATTTAGGTCTAGGGTTTAGCCCCCCCAGCCAAACACCCTAAACCCGAAACCCTAAACCCTGCACCGATTCCCCCCCCCCATGGAGATCTATACATGAGAGTGGCCCTACAAACTCAAGCCAGCCTTGTTGCTTGAAGGGCCCAGCAATATGGCAACAAGGGTTTAGGGTTGGGATGCTCCCCCTTCTACTAACAGTCCTGAATGGGGATTTGAAGGTTTGGGGTTTAGGGATAACAGCCCTTAGTAGGGGAATATAGTTCCCCATATTATAGCCCCCATTAAGGACTGTTTGTATCAGCGGGAACATTCCAAGTTTCGGGCCCTTAATCCGGTATTCCAGGCTTGAGCACATCATCTCGCTGCTCTCCCGCCAGGCGGTCGGCCAGCGCTGGGATCCTCCACTAAGGGTTCAGGGTTTGGGGTTTAGGGTTTAGGGTTTAGGGTTTAGGGCTTATAGGGTCTTCAGCCCTTTGCCAGGCTCTGAGGACTGCTTCGGTCAAGGAACTAGCCCAAAATGGGTGGTGAGATCAAGGATCGCCGGACTCTGTACACCCTGACCCTTTTGCCTTAAGGCTGCAGGCTCCAAGTTGTAGTGGACTTGGGGTTTGGGGTTTAGGGTTTAGGGTTTAGGGTTTAGGGTTTAGGGTTTAGGGTTTAGGGTTTAGCCCAAGGGCGCGGAATGGACCATCCATGAAGCTCTAGCACACGCAACCTTCACCCCTTCAACCCGATACCTACGAAGACATTCTGGACCCTAAATGAGGTCATTTTTCTAGGCTAGCCTGCATAGGAGGCTACGCCTAGACCCCAAAACCAGCACCAGGCGGGGCCATGGGATGTGTGTCATGTTCCTTGTTTTGTTGGCTTGAAGAGAGGTACATGTCGGATTTTTTCTCGGAGCCCTGCCAGGGCCAACCTAGCAAATTCTCCCAAATAATTCGGGTAGTGCTTGCCAGGGTGCCCTCACGTCGCCGGCGAGCCCCTTGCCACCATTGCAACTGCTGCGCGGAGCATCACTGGCCTTGCAGGCAGAGCATCGCGCATTTACTCAGTAGGCCCTTGGGGGGTTTTATATTTTCCCTTAGTGGGTTGTAGAGGATCACATCCAGGCATCCAGGAATATTTTTCAGAGGGGTTTTTAAAGGCCATCCGCGGTTCGGACGAGGGGTTGAGTGTTTGTTTTGTTTTTTCTCCCAGAGGGCTCGAAGATTTGGGGCATTAAGGGGAAGGTGTTCAAGTCAACAGACATCTGCGGTACAGATATCATGTTAGCATGCACGGAAGGGTCAGGGAGCCACGGCTGTCCGCATTGACCTGTACCTACAACCTTTGATTCTGCGGGTAGAGGCACACTGCACATGACAACCGCCGGCTTATACCCTAAACCCTGAACCCTAAACCCTAAACCCTACACCCCGATCCCTAAACCGTAGTCAAGAAACTTATACTCGCTGACCTCTGACAGTAACCAACAGTCATGCCACTGCTTGCGACTGCGTAAGACAGATCCAAAAACTCAAAACCCTAAACCCTAAACCCTAAACTTCACACCCGAAACCCTAAACCCTAAACCCTAAACCCTAAACCCTAAACCCAGCAGCTGCAGGACAGCCCAATTGCTGGTTGGTTGCAAGTTGTGGTCCCTTGAGATCTCTGCCAACTGCGGAGCCTTACAGTTAGGGTTTAGGGTTTGGGGTTTAGGGTTTAGGGTTCAGGGTTTAGGGTTTAGGGTTTAGGGTTTCAGGGTGGCATACATTCGAGAACTGCCTGTGCAATGATTGGTTCCAACTCTCGGAAACTCGTCAATCCCGATCCCGAACCCAAACAAATCACCCTAAACCCTAAACCCTAAACCCTAAACCCTAAACCCTAAACCCTAAACCCTAAACCCTAAACCCTAAACCCTAGACCTTTCTTTGTTTGCATGTCGGTTGTTCCGACAGGCTTGCATTGACGCCGACCCAGAAATCCTCACGCTGGAGATGCTTTGCCGCATGGAGACGACCTGCATCTTTACTTATCTTTGTTCCCTCTCTTGGCTTCGTTCTATGGCGAGAAGAGTGCAAGACAACATAACTTCATATAGTATCAGTCTGCACGAATAAGGCGCCGCCACGCCCCCCCCCCCCCCCAAAAAAAAAAAAAAAAATCAAAAAAAAAGAAAAGAAGAAGAAGCAGAAACACATAATACATGAATACAAAATAAACAAACAAATGCATAAACAAATAGATAGTTGCGAATAATGATATCAATAGCAATACATTTAGTCAGAATATGAATCATATAGAAATAAGAACAATAAAGAGCCAGCATTTCAGGGTCAGGGTGCATCTTACAGCATGTGCCATCACGGTTTCGTCTGGTGGAACGCGCAACATTTAAACCATGCACAGTGAGCATGTGAGCCCTGACTTCTACGGAACCCCCTAGAACCTTTGACCCCAAACTCTACCAATTCGCAGACATGTCACTGTACTTAGAACCCACTTAAACAGCCCCTTAAGCAGCCTCAAACCCTAAACCCTAGGACAACAATTGGCCGACCACCATTACAGATATCCTTGGCCGCCCTTGAAGCCTTGGACCTTTCAGCCTGCAGCCCCACCGGAGAATTCCTGTAGCTGAGACGTATTCCTTATAAAAGTACTTTACAGCAACAAAATGAGACTGTAGAGAACTGAAATATAAGGGTCGTAGTATGACTTGCAGAACATTCCTTGAGGTCCTAGTACGGCTCAAGGAATACTCTAGAGTAGGCCCTCATTCTCTTTTTTTGTTTAGGGTTTAGGTTCCCTTCGACGCCCCTTGAAAACCGAAGAGGGCAGCCCTTTACCTCTTAGGTTACTCTCGGGTCTGCTATAGTTAAGGGCGTGTTGGAGTCTCTGCACACACCACGGGCCTCTGCTTGTTGGAACAGTTTCGGGGCTTTGGGGGTTGAGGGCTTTCACCCCTAAACACTAACCCAAAGTCCCCCTAAGCCCTAAACCCGAAGTCATGAGCCCTAAACCCTAAACCCTAAACCCCTGAAGGTCCTAAAGGCCCTATAATAACGCTGGGGAGGGCCGGAAGTCAGGAACACGCTGCAGACGATGCTGTCCTCGCTCTTCGCCTGGGCGGCCCTCAAAGGGCCCCTACAGGAGCGTTCCGGGTTTAGGGTTTAGAGTTCAGGGTTTAGGGTTTTACGGTTTAGGTTTTAGGGTTTAGGGTTCAGGGTTTAGGGTTTAGGGTCTAGGGTTTAGGGTTTAGGGTTTAGCGTCTAGGGTTTGGGGTTTTGGGGAGCAGGGGAGCAGGGGGGCAAGTCCCTGATTTGGGACTTGGGGATTGGGTTTAGGAGGAGGCGTTTGGACTCCCAAATAGCCTAAATATAGAAGCTCCGCATCCCCCTCCCCCTGAGATAACCAACAGCCTCGACATCCCTACAACGCAGGAGGCTAATTTTAGGATTCTGATTTTGACGGGTCTTTAGGTTTCAGGCGTTTTTTGTTGTACATCATCTTTTCGGCTTTCCAGGTTTGGGGATTATAGTTCAGGCGCATTCAGTCGGATAAGTGTGAAGGCGCAGGGTTGCTGCGGTGTCGGGTCTAGGGTCTAGGGTTTAGGGTTTAGGGTTTAGGGCTGAGGGTTCCCATGCTAGACCCTTCAACCCCCCAAACCCTTACACCCTGCACTCCAATTGCAACCCTACAAACCTTGAGAGCACCAAACATTCCCTCAAACCCGAGGGCCCTTGAAACGCCAAAACCCTGATGCCCCCAAACACTGCTCCCGAGCCTAAACCCCAAACCCCAACCCTAAATCCCAAGCCCTAAACCCTAAACCCTAAACCCTAAACCCCAAACCCCAAACCCTAAACCCCAAACCCCTTGAACGACTGCGAGTGCAGGAGTCAGGGCTGAGCCCTGAGGCGCTCCAGAGCCAGGCCGGGAGGATTGCTAGGGTTTAGGGTTTAGGGTTTAGGGTTTAGGGATTCCTAAGCTTAGGCTTTCAGGGCTCCTACCGGTTTTTATGTACGGGATGGGGGGTTTGGGGCTTAGGGTTAGGGACTTAGGGTTTATGGCGGCTTGAGGGTTTAGGAGGGCTTAGAAGGGTTGAGCTGTGTATTGCCTACAGGGTTCATTAAGTTTAGGGTTTAGAGTTTTGGGTGGGCGTCTAGGGTTTGGTTGAGAAGGTGGTATGAGGCTGATGGATTTCAGGGTTTTTGTGAGCTTGGTGTTGTAGATGTCTCATGTTTTTTGGCTTTTGGGGGGTTTTAGGGGGTTCAGGGGCTTTTGAGATCTGAGGTCTTTGGGGTGTCACGTGCTTGTGGCTCGATTTGTTGCATCTGGTTGCTTTAATGTTGCAGCGCTGCTTGTTCTTTGCTGTTGGTGGGGGCTGGGTCGTGTAATCTCTGTTCAGGACTGTTAGTACAAGGGGCAATAGACCCTTATTGCCTTTTTATAGGACCTAGGTTCCCTAATTATAAGCCCCTTTAGACCCAAAAGGGAACCCTGTTTCATTCCTGGGCCAGCCTTGGGTCGAGTTTAGGTGAGCATTGCCTCGCACGCCTAACCCGAAACCCTAAACCCTAAACCCTAAACCCTAAACCCTAAACCCTAAACCCTAAACCCTAAACGTCAAGACTAGGCGGAGCTCTTTCAGTGCTTCGAAATCCTTGCCGAGTGCTTTGGAAGGGAGTCCTTTGGCTTCTTGCTGCACAAGGCAGGGTCGGAAAGGGGAACGAGGGAAAGCCCCCCTGCAACCTATAGCCGCAAAACCCTACAACCCTATCACACCCCAAAACCCTACAACCCTATATATATATATATATATTACAAGTCAATATATATATATATATATACCTATATACCTATATACCTGTATACCTATATACCTATATACCTATATACCTATATACTCATGGGTTCCCCCCCTCATAAAGCCTCACTAAGGTTGTTTGAGGGGGGAACCTCAGGGGGGTAGTGTAGAGAGGGGTAGTAAGGACACCAATGATATGTAAACCCTCAACCCTTGGGCACAGGGGCCCGTGTGAGTCCAATTCTTGGGTCTCAGGGGTGCCCTGGTCTCAGGGCTTTAGGGCGTGTAGGGTTCAGGGTTTACTTAAACCCTAAACCCTAAACCCTAAACCCTAAACCCTAAACCCTAAACCCTAAACCCTAAACCCTAAACCCTAAACCCTAAACGGCTGCATTGTGGGGCTTTTCGGTCTTCAAGGGTTTGAGGCTGCGGAGATTGGAGCTTCAGGAGTTTAGGGGCATCTTCCTTCAGCATCGCAGACAGAAAGCCATCAGCCAGACTAGGGTTAAGGGTTTAAGGGTCTAAGGGTCTAAGGGTTTAAGGGTCTAAGGGTCTAAGGGTGTAAGAGTTTAAGGGTTCAAGGGTTTCAGGGTTCAAGGGTCTAAGGGTTTAGGAGCCTGGTTTAAGGGCTTTAAGGGTTTAAGGGTTCTTGGTGTAGGGGTTTAGGGGCCAAGGGCTGAAGCCCCATGTCTCTGCGAAGGCCAAAGGCTCGCGCGAGGATCGCCTAGCCTCGCTGATGGTCCTGCGCCACCTTCTGGGAGGCTTTAGCCCTAAACCCTAAACCCTAAACCCTAAACCCTGGGTATGTTCTGGAGTCCTCGAGTTGTTCAGGAGTCCAAGGGATACTAAGGCTGAACTCTGCAGTGTGCCTCAAATATCTTCAAGCCTTATAAGTTTAGGGTTTAGGGTTTAGGGTTTAGGGTTGGGGCTTCTGGGAGTTGACAAGCCTCCGATGCCCTGGGCTGATTGTTGGCGGGGGATATGTGTTTCCGTTCAGGTGGGTTTAGGGTTTAGGGTTTAGGGTTGAGGGTTGAGGGTTGAGGGTTCGCACTCTCATGCTTTTCGCTTGACTTGATGGATTCGTTGTTCAGGCTTTCGGGCTTGTGGCTGGAGGCTGGTGACGTCCCGAAACAACTCATCTCCTTGCTCCTAGGTTCATACAGGACACAGGGTTTAGGGTTTAGGGTTTAGGGTTTAGGGTTCAGGGTTTAGATGCAGATCCGGGTGTTTTGGTTCAAGCCTTTGTGCCGCCCTTTTGTAAGGCCAAGTGAGCCCAAAGCTCTCGACCCTAAACCCTAAACCCTCAAACCCTAAACCCTAAACCCTAAACCCTAAACCCTAAACCCTAAACCTAAAACCCTGTCTCTAAGCGCCGAGACCCTAAATCATAAGTCCCGAAATCCTAAAGCCCGCAATCGCAAACCCTAAGACCTCAAAGCCCCGAAAGCCTAAACCCCGAAATCCCACACCTCCAAACCCCTAAGACCCGAAGCCCCTAAACCCTAAACCCCTAAAACCACGACCCCTACACGCTAAACCCCTAACACCCCTAAGACCCCTCAAGCCCTACAGCCTAAACCGCTGCACCCCGAAGACCCCTACACCCTAAACCCCCCATGAAGCCCTAAGACCCCTACACCCTAAACCCCTAAACCCCTAAACACCAGACCCTAAACCCCAAACCCTCAACCCTAAACCCTAAACCCCAGAACCTAAACCCTAAACCCCAAACCCTAAACCCTGAACCCCAAACCCTAAACCCTAAACCTTAGAAAACCCAACACACCGCGAGCCGCAGGGCGGGCTGCCAGCGGAGCTGTAAACATCGTCGAGGGCATGCAGCAGCTGCATGGCTTGAGGGCTTTGACTGGGTTGTTGGGGGGGGGGGGTTTAGGGTTAAGGGTTAAGGGTTTAGGGTTTAGGGTTTCGGGTTTAGGGTTTAGGGCTTAGGGTTTAGGGTTTAGGGTTCAGGGTTCAGGGTTCTGGATTCTGGGTTCAGGGTTTGGGGTTTGGGGTTGTTTGTGGTTTGGGGCTTTGGAGTTTTCATGCGCGCGCGCACCTCTCCTGAGGAACTGCCACCCCAAGCCCTTGATTGTCTCCATCAAACTGACAGAGCTGAGGTTTCTTACGGGATTGGCTTATGTTATGACACCCCCAAGCCGCCTACGCCACGCGTGAGATAACAGTAGTCCTAAAATACAAGAAGTCTCCGTACAGGCCCCACGAGGAATTTATCTAATATTGAATTATTAGAACATCTCGATACCTGCACGTCTCAAGCCCCTTGCAGATCTTTCTAATCTAGTACCTATTACTAGTGCACCAGGAGGTTGAATCATGTTGAAACTACATGTGGGGGTTTGCGAGAATCAGGGCTCGATTCTTGGTTCCTACATCTTCCTAGAAATGAGGATAGTCGTACCTCTTTTTTTTTTGGGGGGGGGGGGGGGGAATATTGGGGGCGTCCCGGTTTCCCAGCATCCCTTTTTCGGAACCCCCCCCATGTCCCTTGTTGAGGGCTCCGAACTTCCTGGCTCATAAAAAAGTTCGGTTTAAAAATAGAGTACATACAAAGTTAGTTTACAAATCGAGTACATAAAAAGTTAGTGTTAAAACAGAGTACATAAGGTACTTAGGCTGCAGGGTCTGATTAGGGCTTCTTTGGTTCGCATGTTGCACGTCGCCCTTCGCGGCCCGGCCCGGCGCGTAGGCGCTTTTATGGTTTAGGGTCTGAGGGGCACGTAGAGATGCCAAAGATTGTTGTGCCAGGGTCCATAGTACATGTCCATAGTCAACTCAGCGGCCCCTACACCCCCCCACCCCCCCAAAAAGGGCCGGGCGGCTGGGGGACCTGGCCCTGGAAACTGCTTGGCTTTGTTTTGAGGCTGCTGCTGGACCAGGACCCTGCCGTGGGCACCGTGGTTGCAACAAGCACCTAGCCCGAGCACTGCGGGTGCGGTGGCGTAGCTGAAGTTGCCAGTAGCATGCTCAAGTGTACATCCTGAGAAGGGTGTCTCTGGAAGCCAGGAAACACTTGGAATTATTAATCCCTTCCCCCGCATCTTAAAACCCCCCCTATGCCCCAATATTGAATACACCCCTTTTCGTTATTAGGGGGGGGTATTTACTAGTAGGGGGTAGGGGGGGGGGGTAATGTTAGGGAGAGGGGATTACTTGTAGCGTTTGTGCAAGTCCATCCCTCAAGTCGCAAGCATCTCAACCGTTGACGACAGGAAGTCCTCACATGCTGCGAGCACAGAACTCTGTCAGAATCTAAAGTGAGAGAGTGAGGGAGGGAATGCGTTCAGAGCGATTGATAAACCCTAAACCCCCCTATACCCCCTACACACCCGAAACCCTAAACCCTAAACCCTAAACCCTAAACCCTAAACCCTAAACCCTAAACCCTAAACCCTAAACCCTAAACCCTAACCCCCAAGCAGCCCTAAAGCCCTCCACAAGGTCTGATGTTGGGAGAGCTGCTGGTGGCAGCAGCTAACGCAGACTTGCTCGGCAGTGGGCCTACAGAGGCGACAGGGCTGAAGCAGCTGTGTCGGTCTACCACCCTAAACCCTAAACCCTAAACCCTAAACCCTAAACCCTCATGCAGGCAACGGCTGCTGCCCCCAAGACAGAGCAGGCTCTGGGTGCCTCCATCAGTTGAGGGTTGAGGGGTTGAGGGGTTGAGGTTTTTGAGGGTTTTAGGGTATGAGGGTTTGAGGGGTTGAGGGTTTGAGGGTTTGAGGGTTTGAGGGTTTGAGGGTTTGAGGGTTTGGTGGGTTCAGGGTGTAGCTGGGGGGGGGGGGGGGGGGGGGGGAGACTGCTACAGGGTGGCGAGTGTGTGTTCGGGTGTGGGGACTCCAAGTCGCAAGTCGTCAAGGCAAGGCCAAACATACTGGTGGTTCGGGCCTTTCCAGCTGACAGATATACAACAAAATCCTTCCATGTCATATTTCATTACATGCATATATATATATATATGTATATGTGTGTATACACACACACATATATATATATGTATATGTATATCTTTGTGTGTGTGTGTGGGGTGTCTGCCCATATGTTTGTAGTACATGTATGTGTGTATATATATATATCGTGATGGAATGAACATATGCTCTGGCCAAGCACCGGCTCAGATCAACAGCCTGATCAACTCACTGGTACGCTTGACGGCGAAAAGTCAGGCCAGGGAGTTGATTTTGAGAATTTTAAGGGCTTAGTGTTTAGGGTTTAAGGTTTAAGGTTTAGGGTTTAAGGTTTAGGGTTTAGGGTCAGGATTTAGTGTTTAGGTTCTTGGATGGTTTTTAGGGCATGGCTTGGCGCAAGTGCGTGGCCAGGTCACGGACACGGAGCAGGGCTACATCCCCAAGTTTGTTTCCAAGGCCCTGGGCAGTGAACGACAGGCTGCCTGGTGCCTGCGAAGCCTTTTGAGGCCCCCCAAGAAGGGACCCTTCATCTCATTCCCTTACAACCCTCGTATATATATATATATATATATATATATATATTCGATATACCCAAATATAGCCCCCCAAATAGCCCAATGTTCAAATCTTCGGGCAGGGCTACCACAGCGACGGGCCCACTGCAGAAGAAGTGCGAAGTCGTGTCCGAGCCTCAGGGCAAAGAGAGGGCAAACCCAGTCTCACGCATGCCGAGCCATGAAAGTTTGCTCAGGAGGTCTTGAGCTTGCTTCGGATTTATATGATTCAGGGCTCAGGTCTTCCCTGCGTTTCAGGAGCTGTAGACCAGATCTTCGCATTGTCTAAACACTAAACCCTAAACCCTCAACCCTAAACCCTAAACCCTAAACCTTGCCGTGCGAACTTCAGGCCGGGTCTGTTCTTGGCCAGCTCGTGGACGCCGTTGAGTCGAGGTGCCTTGTGTTCATCATGTAGGGGTTTCTGAAAGTAGGGGTTTACGAAATTCCGAAATCATAGGGTTTAGGGTAGTACCTTATTGGGGTCCGTATTATAAGGGGGATCCTACTATTTGGGGGTGTATATTCGGAGTGCCTTGTTTTCGTAGACCGTCATGTCCATCTGCAACGCTTAGACTCAGACTTGGCGCTCATTCCCTTTTTAAGCGGTTAGGCACCTTTAACGGCCCCTTTTCACAACAGAGGGAACCCTTTCGCACCAGCTGCTCGTCTTGAATAACCCATGGCTATCAACAAAATTTGAAGGGCAGCATCTGGCACCTCCAGTCCTGCACGAGCGTTCTTGTGCTAGTTGCTGCTTTGATCGGGGGATTCCTGATGACGATGTAATCTAGTGATGACACTTTGCCTGCTGTTGATGCTGTTGATGCTGTTTTTGAAGCAAGATGCCTGCAATCGACGTTGCGACATCCTTGTTCTTGTCGCAGGATTCACCTGCTGCCCAGTGCAAGTGCGCACATGCATGTTCATCACTGAACATGCATGTGCGGGCACTTCTATGGCAAAGATCCGGTCAGAGCATCCCTAAACCCTAAACCCTAAACCCTAAACCCTCAACCCTCAACCCTCAACCCTCAACCCTCAACCCTCAACCCTCAACCCTAAACCCTAAACCCTAAACCCTAAACCCTAAACCCTAAACCCTAAACCCTAAATCCTAAACCCTAAACCCTATGCGAGGAGTCCTTTGAGGTCCATGTTGTGGCCCTTGCTGCCCCGCCCTCAGATGCACGAGGCATCTTTTCATGGCAGGATGTGTCTAGAGGTTTCAACCCTAAACCCTAAACCCTAAACCCTAAACCCTAAACCCTAAACCCTAAACCCTAAACTTAGGGTTCAGGGTCTAAGGGTTGAGGTTCAGAGTTCAGGGTATGAGGCCTAAGCCTTCAACTCTAAACTGTTGAAACTAAACCCTAACCTAAACCCTAGACCCTAAACCCTAAACCCTATTCAACCTTATTCAACCCTACTCAACCCTACTCAACCCTAAACCCTAGACCCTAGACCCTGGACCCTAAACCCTAAACCCTAAACCCTAACCCTAAGTCAGGGCAGTGTAGATCTTTGTGTTGGCTTCTTCCGAAACGCGAAGGTTGAAAGCCTTGGTGAATCCAGCTCTCATGCTGGGTATGCCGGTACTGTGCCGCGCTGTTACCCAGCTACTCCAGCAGGGGGGCCCTGTGCCTGACTTGCGTGATGGCTTCTGTGGCTTGTTGTGCTGCATTACTCATATTCATGTTTATCTGTTACATTCATGTACTAGTACTTCTCTGAATGTATTTGTATATGGTAGAATGTAATATATACATATATATATATACACATGTATGTATTTTGTTTTCTCCTTCTTATTATTGCCAGTATTATTTTTATTTTAGTTTATTATTATTATTGTTATTAATGTGTTTGAACTTTATTTCCTCATTAAATGCTTACTCAATGATTAGCAACATGTCCATGTACCGGGGCTTCTGCAGGCTGTCGTACTTAGCTATGTTCCAGGATGGGGTTGGTCACCCTAAGCCCGTGGCAAGGCCTCGAGATACTCTAACTCGCAACCCCGAAACCTCCTTCATGAAATGCCCCCCCCCGGTCGCACCAACAGCCCAAGCCCTGAAAGGCTCAACCCTTCTGAGCCCTAAAGATGTAGAACCCTGCAACCCAAAACCCCAAACCCTAAACCAGCCGAAACCCTAAACCCAAACCCCAGCCCTAGACTCTACTGCTTGTGATGAGAAGGTCCGCAAGGGCCGAAGCAGAGGCAGACCTGAAGGATGACCCGGAGCGGACTCCCCCAGGACTGCCCCTTTCGGGTTAGGGTTTAGGGGTGGTTTGGTTTAGGGTTTAAGGCTGGTTTCGGGTGGCTCCGGACCGCCCACTCACAACTTTCAGGGCTTTGACGCGCCCTCCCTCCCTCCCTCCCTCCCTCCCCTCCCTCCCCTCCCCTCCCCTCCCCTCCCCTCCCTCCCTGTCCCCCTCCCGCCCCTGTCCCCCTCCCAATATCAGGCCGAGCCTCGATTCCATTTTGCAAATGGCTTGCCTAGAACCTTCGAGTGAAAGCTCTGCTTGCAGACAGGCGTGCTTCGGCAACGGGGGTAGCCCCCAAACCTATGGAGGCGCTTGAGGACCCTGGAAGGCCCCCGCGCTAGAAAGCAACACATGCACGAATCACCGCGCTGTCTTTGCAGGAGGCCCGCACAAATGGGAATTGGCTGCGAACCCGTTTTCGTGGGCAATGCGAAATCCTGAGCCCTAAGCCCTAAGCCCTAAACCCCAAACCCTAAACCCTAAACCAACAAAACGATGCGTGTAGGGGGCCGGCCGAGCCTGGAGACCACCCGGCATAACCCGGGCATACATGGCTTTATAAACGTACGGAGCTGCCTGGGGAGGCCCCTTGAGAAAGGCTAGGATGCCCAGTAGTGCCCTTATTCCCTTTTTGGGGGGGTTTAGGTTCCCTTATAAACCCCTTTTAAGCAAAAAAGGGCACCCTTTTTAATCCCAGGTTACTGGGCAACCCAGAAGGCCACCTTGATGGAAGCTTTTCCTGCTTCTCTGCATTTCTTCCTACTTCCGACTTCCTACTTCCTACTTCCTACTTCCTACTTCCTACTTCCTACTTCCTACGGGAGTCTTATCTTCAGGAATGTTGCCACAGCTGCCAGTCACCGAGACACCCTGCGGCAAGCCAACTTTACAGGAGGCCTCCAAGCAATCCGAAGCTCAGCGAGCCCTTCGGCACATGCGGCGTCGATGCCCTCCAGTGCGGCGTGGTGGCAACCGGTTCGGGGGTTGGACGCTTAGGGTTTAGGGCTTTGGGGGTGAATATGTAAGAGCTCATGCGCTTTCAAGGGCTGTGGGGTGTGTAAGGGTGAGTTGGGTGTAGTCGTAGTTTTCATTGGCGAAGCGCAGCAGCTTCGCAAGATGCAGCCAAGGAGATGCTGTTGGTGTGGCTGCTGGTCTGTGCGCCAGAGCCTCAGATGTCAGTCCTTCGAGATTGGGTTTTATCCGGGTGGGCGGTTTAGGGTTTAGGGTTTAGGGTTTAGGGTTTAAGGTTTAGGGTTTAGGGTTTAGGGTTTAGGGGGGGGGGGGGGGGGGGGGAGGGGGCTTCCTTGCCGAGAGAGTTGGCCGAGGCATCATCCACTGGAGCCTCCTGGGCCCCTCCGGCATGCATAGGAACTGGGCGTTTTGTTTAGTCTAAGGGTAGCTACATGGGTCCGTAAGGGTTTCGGGTTTAGGGTTTAGGGTTTTTGGCTTTTGGGTTTAGGGGCCCTACCTCCAACTAATGTAATTGGCCCTTAATTTTGGGGTGTATAAAAAGGGTATATAAGGGGTACCCTTTTAAGGGCCCATACTAAGGCACCATGTAAGTACCCTTAGATTTAGGGCTCAGGGTTTGGGATTTCGGGCTTTATCCGCAGCGCTGTTGGGTCTTATGGGTTTATGACATGTCTGTTGTTTGAAGTTTTTGGATGTGTTCCTTTTACGGTTTGGGGGTATCAAGGCCCTTAACCCTAGAGCCTAAACCCTTAGAGAACCCTTCGCTCGTAACCCCTAGATGGTCGCTGTGAGTTTGCACGGCGCATG